GTCTGGTGCCAAGTTGCCAGCGTTCTGCGTTTTCCGATGGTGAATACACCAACTTCCAAGGAATATGGGTGATCAAAAGTACCCAAGTCTTACATAAGCAACATGGTTCACTACCTAATATTTCGGGGCGAGAAGTGGAAGTTAATTTATGAAGTTGCCATTTACATCCAACAACTCGAGAGTTTTTGAAAATGACCAGCATTTCGGGTTGAAGCATTAATCTTTTTTTATTTTTTTTTATTTCGGGGATCAGCCCACCCAGCACGGACAACGACCCACATCAGGGCCTGGAGGCGAAAATATAATTATAATTATAATAATAATTAACAAAATCTAGTAAAAATGAATAAATAAAAAAAAAAGAAAAAAAAGATCAATAGTAAGAAACGATGCCGATAACTATCAATGAAAAGGGGTGATACAACGAACTATGTTCTAGAATTAACATTTAGCCTTAAAATAATGTATTTGGACCCAAATAATCAAGCCCGTCTGAAGCTACGGAGGTACATGACTCGGCAAGCACAAACAAGGAAACTGTCATGATAGGGTCCACTCGCTTCTCGATATCTTTTTTTTTTCATGATTCAAATTTCACAGCCCAGAGTATGGGTTAACCTCACGGTATTATTGTGATACCCAACAGTCAAAATATCCTGATATCAGAACTGTTGAGTCAACAGCGACGGAATGAATCGTGCGCCTGCCAGTCACTGAGGACCATGACGAAGCTAAGTCTCCCCACAAGCATGGACTCGACGGACCAAAGCAAACTGCTTATTGCCGCCTTTGCACTCAGTTATTACCTACTGTTCTTTGTCTACACCTCAGACTACATATATAAACATAACCCTGTTAATACCAACGTGTGTAGAGCTTACACTGTAAACTATAGGAAACCCCAAATATTAATTATACCATACTTGGTAGTACTGTATTAAACTCAAGGCAGCTTAGCCAACGCCCTACAACTCCGTTTGTGCAGCCAATAAAGTTACTTTCTTAAAAAATTGAAAAGGTCTGTTACTTGTCTTTTATGGAAATTCAAAGAAGCTTATTAAATAATAATATAAAAGTGCTTCAGTCCCCAAATCCGAGGATCACCCTGGATGTGGCAACACTTTCGTACTCCGGGGCCGCGGACCCAGATATCTCTACCCAGGATGTGGAGGCGTACTACGTATTGCAATGTATCCTATCCACCCTACTAAAAACTACAACCTCGGTTCAGAAAAATACAAATTACAACTATTTTCGTCACTCTTCTACACTTACGGAATAGGCTACCACACCAAACGAACAGGCTTCACAAAAGGTGAACTGCAGTGTAATTGTCTTTTTGTTTCAAGTTACTATGAAGCAAAAATGATTTAATTTAATTACTGTATTGCAATTCGATGCTAGTGATATATATATATATATATATATATATATATATATATATATATATATATATATATATATATATATATATATATATATATATATCCCCCAAAACTACTTGGGGGAGGATCTTCATGATCTAGCCTGGGGATCTTCAGTTGGATACTTTGGGGGAAGATCTTCATATGATCCATATATATATATATATATATATATATATATATATATATATATATATATATATATATATATATATATATATATAAAACACTGTAACAGTACAAGAGTTATAAACCGCTTGGACTGTAGCCTTGATATTTTTTTTGGGTCAAACACACCCTTACCCGACAAGGCCTAATGAACAACCTGCATCTTTCCATTTAAATAATTATGAATAGCAAAATATAAATGTTATTTTTTTCTATAAGTGCTTCAACCACTAGGGTAGGGGAATAATAAAATCGTCTGGCGTTAAGCCAAATTTAAGGTTAATAGAGGCGTCCCCGTAGTGAAAGGGTTCAAGATTGACTTACTCCTACATCCAGAAGTTCTTTTATGTTTCTCAAGGCATCTTTGTTCCCCACGTTCCTTAGAGCATATACAGAAGTATAGAATTTCTTACAATTACTAAGAAAACGAGATTTCCAAAAGAATTTTCTTCGAATTACATTTCTCTGGGTGGACCATTAACTCGGCTATACCCGCCGCCAAAAGCTGCAATCCCCAACCACGTAGAAGTTAGAGACAATATAAGCACCAGTGAAGTCAGAATACCCAAGAGGATCACCTTTTCGGAGATGAACCCCACATCCGTCACCCTATCTGATTCACGTGACGCCCAGCTCTTGTAGCAAACGCCCGGTAAATGTTTCCACGGACCACTAGACTACAAAACAATACATGAATTACCCACGGGGGCCACAAGATTCCGGGACACTCAAGTGAAAAACCGGTACTAGTAAATATCATCTCTCTACCCAAGTAAATATTGCAGCCTCCAGAGTTTTCCAATTTTTTCTTCCATTCCCCAAATCTTGATTCCTAGACGCTTACTCTCCTTCAACAAACTCAGACTATTACATGTTTAAAGCATTTTATACAATACTGTACATTGATAACTGCCTGTACCATGACTTTAACAAATCAAATGCGGACTACGAAACCGCATGTTAACTAAACCAAGAATATCTTCACGTAATACAGTATTGAAAGGTATACTGGTATAATTCTGGAACCGAAGATACGATTCACAATTGATATATCGGTTTCAAAGGCTTTCTCGACCTCTCCTTGCTCCCGATACCAGAAAATAATAGTAAAACGTGGTAAAATTTCACTTGTCACCCAAAGAATTTTTTGAATTTTATGGATGCAATCGACAGTTTAGACACTCAAAGACACTCTTCCATGGCATTTCTCTAGCAAACGACCTCATCACCTCTCTGGACCCCTCGACGTACAAGTCGTTTGCGAGGGAAACATCATGGAAGTGTCTTTAGAATTGTGAAAACTTTTAACTGCAACCAGAAAATTCTCTGGGTGGCAAGAAGTGAAATAGTAACAAAATATGACATACAAAATTAAATTATAATAATAATAATAAAGATCAAGAGTGAGAAACGATATACTGTATGTATGTTGTGTTGTCAAAGTGAGAGAAACAATTCAGACCCTGCAATTGTGTGTAAATGAGGCAGAAAGTCGGATCAGGAACCTGGGCTGTTACAATATTTGTGGTGCCATATGGCAGCAGGGTCTATCATTAGACAACACATTACGCTTCCAGTATCATCCCAGGGGGTCAACGAATTACCCAAAAGTATATTAAATCAGGGTAAAATCTTAACGAATATCTGTCATACGTATACAAAACATGTCTAATAATATTTTTGGTGTAATTTTGTAAAAATAATTTGTAAGATGAAATAATAAACAGGGAAAAACTTTCAGTATTGGCGAACGCTAAATTCCAGTTCGTGAACAAGGGAGATAACTCAGATCTATCGTGATGCACTTCGCTAACCTAACCTAACGAAAAGTAAATCCTACGGCTATGTTAAATACCCCAAAGTAACAGAAACATCGGTAATTATATCTCCATTTTGGATAGGTGACTCTTTGGAATTTAGCGTTTTTCGCTGTTTATTTTTCATTGTTTTGACATTTCAATGAAAACATTATTAATCAGGTTTTATTGATGTAAAACATATATTCGTTAAGATTTTACCCTGATTTAATATACTTTTGGGTACTTTTGAGTACATTTGGGTAATTCGTTGGACCGCATCCCAGGTGGTAGTACCTCCCTGTTTCATAGCTGCCTACAGTGCACTGCCGGCAAGGACAAAGGCTTCTAACTGGTTCTTGCCCGCGGTGCCCAATTTCTCTGTGGCTGTCGGTCACACTAGAATAACCCATTATAGTACATCCTTCGTGCGTCACACAGTCAAACTGTGGAATGCTCTGCCTTCTTCTGTGTTTCCATACCCATACAATGTCTCACTTTAAAAAGCTGGTTTTCCGGCATCTTCGTGGTGTAGTTATTAATATCTTTTTGTTTTATATTTCTAATTTCTTTTTTACTATTATTTTTTTCGCCCTCTACCCGGGCGGGCTATTCCCCGTAAAAAAATAAAAATAAATAAAGAACCTGCGGATAGGCCGCCACCATACAAGTGAACCAGCTATGTAACGTCGTGACAAGACAGCCAGGAAGTCCAAGTAAACTCATATCAGAGAAAGATGCTATATTTACTTGTGATGGCAATGTACCATACGTACCCCACCTGAAGGCATGTTGACGTTGCTAAGCGTTCACAGGCAAACGCTTTATGTAAGCACCAAACCGTCGCCCCTTGAGCTAACATGCACACGTAACAAACTTATATAACCCTGTTACTTGTAAAGTACCTCAACCAATACTCTCCAACCCGGTTTTCTACGTCTCACCTTCAATAAATTGCCTTAGTTAACCTCATTAAAAAAAATCATAAAATATAATAGTTGCAACGATTATGGCGGAACTGCAGTTATGAAACGAAACTAGAGCCGTCCCCTCCCCCTACACCCGGCGGTAACCCATAGCAACCCTCACTTCCACACTCCCGTCAATGTACCTCAATCTCAGATACTGTACATGCTACGCTTCCGGCTACCCTCCCTTACTCTATATCTAGTAACTGAATAAAAAAGCATTAAATACACTCAGACACAGTAGGACTTCGGGCGCGAGCAAGGGAAGTACATAAGTACATTACACAACGCAGCCAAGCGTGCGCTTGCGTGGTCCTTACCAGATTTACAAATTATGCAGCTTGTATGAAAAAAAAGCTGCCCCACTGGCACTGCACCTACAACACACTACTGCATTTCTCCCAAAAGACGAGTGCAATGGAAGAAGATATTAATTAAAGCAGAAATATTGTGGTAATAAGCACCACAATTTTGTCATCTATATTTAAGTGAAAACTCTCATTACATACAATAAATAATACATGAAATTGATACTCGAGAAGGTCCTTTATGCTCATGCGAAACAATAAACATGATGTTTCGACGAAGTGTATGAAAGATTACAAGAAAATATTAAACGGCGTGAACATTATGCAACAACTTACCACACTCCAAGGCTTCATTGTAGAGATTAACGGCCTTTTCCAAGTTCTGATCCTTAACGTGATTGTTGCCTTGTGTTCGTAGCTTGACGCCCTCCACCTCCCCTGCCCACCACCTGTCCACTAGTGTCACAACTAGCACATTAGGCTTAATACTAGACACACACAAATTCTTGAGTTTACACTGACACACCCTACAAGTTCTGAGACCTTCCTTCAGCAAGCATCTCTTGCAGTACGTGTGTCCACAATGTAGCGTCACTGGGTCGTGCAGTACGCCCAGACAACACGGGCACGAGAATACGTTCCGACACGGAGTTGCACCATTCTCACGCCAGTCTTGTCTCAGGTACTCAACTATTTTACTAATCACCTGGTAGAGCTTGTCCGTGGTCATAGTGTACAACTTATACATATGGAACAGCACTTCCAGGCTCTCTATCACTTGTCCCACCTCCGCTAAGAAACTGGCGTATGATATATACACGTCCTGGTTAGGTCCCTTTTCTTTTAGAATTCTCTCATACATTTCTCTGGATATAATCCGACCCAAAGCCGGCCTTTCCATCGCCTCCTGAAGTAAACTCATATTTGTGACAGCTGTGGGCGGGGATCACGCAGCAAAGCGATCACGGACTGTCATCTCAGGGCCACAGCTCACACCACACAGCTTTAGTCTCCCCCAGGATGCTACGTCTGTCACCCGCGGCAGCAGGTTGTACACTGTCGACGACTGTCTGAACCTTAGATTCTCAGGTTTTGGTAACTCACGTGTGGCGTTCTGATCGTAGATTGGCTGCTCCTCTAGCCTCGCGCCGACACCCACACTAGCCCGCCAAGTTCGAATTCCGTAAGTTCTTTCACCTTCCCTGCACACTTTCTTGTTATCATTTTTTAAAGTTATGTGCGTGATGAGACCAGTTTAGATCATATAGGTATGCAAAAACCTTAGGTTAGAGGGCCGTTTTCATAAATAAACCCACCTTAGCAACTTGAAAGCTTATAAGCAGAGCGTAAGAAAAATTTCTTTCACTCTCCCTTATAATCCTTGTTTTTGAAGATTGAGTAAATGGTAAATGATAAAGCCTGATCTGAATTTCTGCCTCATTTACACACAATTGCAGAGTTTCAATTGTTTTTCTTACTTTGACAACACAACATACTTACACCGCTTCTCACTATTGATCTTTTTTTTATTTATCGGCCTTAATTATGATTATTATTATTATTATTATTATTATTATTATTATTATTATTATTATATTTTCGCCCCCAGGCCCTGATGTAGGTCATTGACCTGTGACCTGGTGGACTAATCCCGTAATATATATATATAACAATCTCGTCTGCTTGAAGGATACCTTACACAGTCAGGTAAAGAGCGGTTTCGTAACAAATATTCTTTGACTTTATAAAAGAGAAAACTCGCCCTTGTATAATAATTACACCGTGAGTCAAACAAGGTATTAGATAATAAGCGTTACAAAACCATTTTGGGGACATACCCTGTATTATCTTTGGATTTACCAAGATATTCAGTTTTACCTTTAAATTATGGCTTTTAATAAGCACTTTTAGTAGCCGTCATTCTTAATGCAAGTAAGTTTCTTTAACCTATCCTGATATGGAAGGTTTCTAAGTCCCGGAATCATTTTTGTCATTCTTCGCTGCACCGACTCTAGTGAATTTATATCCATTCTATAATACGGGCACCAGAACTTAACCGCATAATCGAGGTGCGGCCTGACTTGCGCAAGATATAGTTGCAATAAGACCTCTGCACTCTTGTTACTTACACTTCTAGATATAAAACCCAATACTCTGTTTGCCGTATTTCGAACATTAACGCACTGTTTTCTAGGCCGTAGGTCCGGGCTTACAAGTACCCCTAGGTCTCTTTCACAAGTCGACTTCTCTAGGTTGATGTTGTTAAGGCTGTATACATTGACAGTATTTGTTCTTCCAATATTAAGTACGCTGCACTTGCTGGTGTTGAATTTCATTTGCCATTCTTCTGACCACCCCTGCAGTTTATTTAGATCCTCCTGTAATGCATTTGCATCCTGCCCTGAATTAATCTGCCGCCCTATTTTGGTGTCATCCGCAAACTTGCTCATGTCACTGCTGATCCCAGTATCTAGATCGTTTATGTAGATTATGAACAAGAGTGGGCCTAGTACTGACCCCTGGGAAACCCCACTGGTTACACGGCCCCACTCAGATTTAACACCAATTTTGCTCGCCAGATTCATCCAAGTTTCGGTGATTGCTATGACGTCTACATTCTTGGTACATACAACCGCTCTCAGCAAGTCTATTTTATTTCGAACGCTCCTACTGTTTGTATAGTATAGATAGGTATACATAGTATACATATGTGAGACATGTGTCCTCACATTCTCAACAGGAGCAAAATTTCTCGCACGAAGATTTTGTATTGCAGTTTAAGTGAAAACAAAATCAGGTGTAAATTTGATTGTATGGAGCTGTGACGTCTAGTCTTGCCTCCCTCACAAGATTTGAGAAAGCTTATTTTTTACCCATTATTAAAATGGCGACAAATTGACAAACACTCCTCTACAAAAAACAAATGGAGTAGGCCTACAGAATATATAAAACTGCCACAAAATGACACATGAGAAATGAACTAACAAGTAACGAGAAAACAGTATAATGGCTAAGAGTTTTAATACATAATCAAGGGCCATCGAACTCCAAGTGTTGTACAAACAGCCTTGGTAGCTCGGCTTTGACTCATCCCCGAACACCCACCCGCCACCCCGTAATATCCCTCCCTCCTTTCCCCCCGACAAACTCCTTCCAGGCAGTTTTATAAGAGCGGACCTCCCCCCCCCCCCCACGTTGCAGTCTGGTTCCCGTCTTTTTGTCTTAAATTACTAACTTGTCTAATTTATCATTGTTTTGAACTGTTTAATGTTGGATCTTTACTAATGTTTCTTGGTGCTTATATATAGTTACTGTACACTTGGTAGACCATATCTTTAGAAGCCCGTAGAAACTGCAACAGTATTAGTCAATATACACAGTATATTACGTTCACTTTGTCTCTTGTTGACAGAGTAAGTTATTATGCTCGGTTAAGGACCTTTCATACTTTCATACTGGGCTCAAAGTTCGACATAATATTATACTCGATTTGGGGCCTTATTCTGTATTGGGTTTAAGGACAAAAACAGATGATGGTCGGTTTGCTTATGTCCCCCAAGTGTTCTCAAGTGAAGACGTAACAACTCAGGTCGGTTTAATGGACACCTAACTACTGGTTTATGATGCAAGAAACTGGTAAAATACATAGCAACAGGGCGTGAAGTGTGGACGAACTCAGTGATCAACAGATTACTGCCTGTCTCCGTCCGTCTTTCTTGTATGTTTTTTGTAGCCTGTTGTCTCTTATGTAAGTTCTTATGCCTGTCTGTATTTATGTCTGCTTTTATACCCGTCTGTATGTCTGCTTTTATACCCGTCTGCATGTCTGCTTTTATGCTTTTCAGTTTGTCTTCTTTTATGCCTGTTTGTCTGTCTACCATTGTCACTTTGTCGATTTGTGTGTCCGTATGGCCTGTCTACCACTCTGTGTCTGTCTGTCGTTATCTTTGTGCATCGTTAAGTTTCTGTCTATCCCTCTAGTTACGTCTGTTTGTGTCTATTTGTTTACGTCTCTAGCTGTTTAGGTTCTGTGTCTCTCTCTACTGTTACGAAAACAAGCATTTTCATGGTTGAAAGTACGTCCTGTAATGATGTCTGGATAAATTTACTCATCTGAATCTACAGTGAGTGTTCCCGTTACCCTCCCCCGTCCCCCCACACCACTAGGAAGCCTGCCTCCCCTTACACACCACCGCTGTCCAATGATTTAAGACTTAAGACGTTCTCTCGTTAAATTTAGAGCGAATAATTCAAGTACGGCCCTATGGGAATTCATCTTTATGCCGTAGCTTAAGAGAATCTGTTTGATTAGTTTTCTCATCAAATGTAGAGAATATTGAAAGTACGACCCTTCGAGAATCTGTGTCGCAGTTTAAGACAGCCATTTCTCGCACCACCAAGTTAAAATCACGAATGAAAAAAATATCAGTCGAGTCAGATAGGATGAGCACATTATCAACCTGACTACAAACCGATGGAAAAAAATAGAATCATTTTGACCGCATTAAAAAAAACGAATTCTCAAAATCGATATGAAAACACTTGACACGTTATCAATTAGTCTTAAACGACCATACTTGTATATGTTTCCGCATGATCAGTTTATGTATTTATGAGAGAGACGGGGGTTGCGTATCTCTAATTTTTACTACGTCAAGGATTCGATTCCTGGCCCGGACACACTTGGGAAGGGTGTTTGATTATTCAGTGTGGGTAATCCGGTTTCCTCTTGTATTAACACTGGACAATAAAGGTGCATAACAAAGTAACAAAGAACAAACCAACCGCCCGAACGGCTGATAAATGGTGAACTGATACAAGGTTTTGGATTCTGTGGTCTGGGAACAAGGCCTTTAGCTCACTAGTAATAGTACACGGCCAGTAGTGGGAAGTTGTTTAGTGTACAGTATACTCTCTCTCACCCAAGGAGAGGACGAGGCTGAGCCAGGAGTGAGAGCTGCGGCTGACTACTCCTAATACTACTTCCACTACTACTATTACTGTCACTACCACTACTACTACTTTTTTTATATTTGGCTTCCAGCCTCCCCCAATAGCCATACCTTCGCCACCATTTTATTACCTTCATATTAAATATCCTAATACATTAGTAGTTATCCTAGCTGTGTTGAGTTAGTTGAGCCCCAGATCTATGCGGCATTCAGTGACTGTTGCCTCATAGTCAATATCTGCAACTGTTGTCGGCTTTGGGGCCGATGCTCTCGTTCCCGAGGCAGAGCAAAGCCAACCGAAGAAGAGAGAAGGACAGTCGACATCTCATCCAGGCTGTAACATAACTTCTGGGCTGCTGCTTCTGTTCGGATAGCACTACTACTACTATTACTGTTACTACTACTACTACTACTACTACTACTACTATAATATCCCTGACATCCTGACACGACTCCCCCTTTTTTAAGACAATTGCAATTTGGTAGAGATGTGCAGGTGGCTTAGGCCCTTGGCCAGGCTTAGGAGGCTGGTTGTCTCTCCAGTAGGGGCGGGTACAACCACGATCCTCCTTCCGCGGATCGACAGTTTTGCGGGCGGCCTAAGGGTTGGTGGCGCACCATCTGTTCTTCCAGGAGCCCCTCCCGCCTCTCACGGGCCGGATGCATTTCTAAAGGTTGAAGATAGAGCTGAAATTTGGTAGCGAGGTGAGGGTGGTTTAGGGGACGGTCATAAACTACCTCCCGTTACTCCACTACAAATGGGGCACCCGTGGGTCGAATACATTTACACATTTGATGATTCTGAGCTAAAAATTGGTAGGGGGGGGGGGTGCGGGTGGTCTTGACTCAGGGGATTGTCTTATACTATCTCCTGTACCTTTACCCAGGTGATGGCGGATAACTCATTCGTGTATAATAAAATTTCAAATAACCAGATCTTAAAATCTTATCAACTGGTTATTTACAAGTCTACATTAACTTACAAGTCTAAGAATAAAAAAAAAGTTGAATCAATACGAAGCCAAGGTATTGAAGGGGAATGGTTACATAACTCGGGTCGACCCTCACCACCGTCGGGCCACCAGGTTTTATAGTTGTAG